AATTATAGGAGAGAAACCAAAAAGCAAAAAGATATCTGCATGTTTTTTCTCCGGCCTTGAGCCTTGAATGGAAAGAAAGAAAGGAAAAAAAACCAAAGCACAGTTCAAAATTGCACATGAGTATGTGTTTAATATATTAACTCTGAATAAATCCGTTCGCCTAGGTACAGGCTACCCCAACCAGCAGTACAATTGTAATGTAGACAGTGAATAAATCGATTCAATCTACTTCATTTTATCCCTTATTATCCGCGCAGTAATATGAAAAGTAATGACTTTTCATATTACTTCTGATAAAATTCCCTTAGAAATCCCCGGCATACTTTCGGGTGACAGATAAGCACGGTCCAAGCAAAGAGATCCACGGGTGGAGCGGTGGTGTGGGAAGGTCGACCGTCCCCTCCCGTCCCATCTCCTCCTCTCGCCCTGCCAGTGGGGCCCGCCTTTCAGGGGCCCCACCGGTTGCAAGCCTCGGCTCTAGAGTGACTGCCGGTGTTCTCTCCCCTCCCTCCCTCCAGTAAACCTCCGAGAGGAGAGATGGGGACGCAAGGCTTTGTATGCTTGCGGAGACGCAGCGTCGCATTTCCTTTCCTATCTTTTTCTTCTCTATGATGATGACGACAGTGATGATGGACGTTGGCATGACTGACTGACTGATCACCCCACCCCTCCCCTCCCGTCCCGGCTTGCTTTATTGCCGACCGGCATCAGACAGTCGAGACTCTCTCTAAATGCAACATGTCGGGAGTAGACCCTTTGTCACAATTATAGAGTTTGCGCAAATCCAAAGCCCACTTTAACTGTAAATGATCTAAATTTGTCCCTTGTTGCATGTATATTCCTCATTCAAGTTTATCATCAACGAGTTTGCGTTGCTCTCCTGAAGCTCATGTAAATAACATATTCGTGGTGACTATGTGAGATGATTAAAAGATATTACTCACAGATCTGCTCTTAAGAGAGTTAGTGTATAAGATGTTGCCACAAACCTTGACAAGTTGAGAACAAACTAAAATAAGAAAACGGATGAGAATACCCAATCAAGTCTTAATGGGAGGGATCCTATTAACACGTATTGTACTCTCATAGTATAATACGTTTATGATGTACCTTAAATGTCAAATTTATCTATATTGAATTGTATAAAAAAAATTATCTCAAAGATGGATGATGTACATTTCAAAGATGGACATTAAAGAGCTCTTGTATACATCTCGGAGATGGACCTATATGTTTTCACAAAAGTGATAAGAAAAAAAAGATTCATAAGTTTACAACTTGCTGAAGGTGGTATATGTTCTATATTCTCAATTGATAAAAAAAAATGTAGGTCTTCATGGCCAAGTCTCTCAATTCAAATTTCTTACTGTGATGGGTCACAAAAAATTTCTTCGATCCTTCTATCAACACTGTCAAGCGTCAACGAGATATTGAGAGATTTAGCTTGATGGATAACAAATATTTTGTCCGTGCAATTTTTCATATTTTTCAATGTGGTAACCAACGAATCTGGCATTGAAAAATGAAATGTTTTCTTTTCATTCTCCATGTTTGGTAATGTACTGCCGCACAACCCACCTTATACACGTTTATCTCTCTCCTCATAGCCAGCCATCCCAACATGGAAGGTGGATGATGCGACTTGGAGAAAGAAGAAGAAACTGTGAGATAAACTGAAAGTAAACATAGCATACTGAAAGCTTTGATTGGATTTGTGAGAAATTGACCCAACGTAGTTCTGTAGGTCATATTGACTATTGAGATTAGATAACCTGAATCCCAAAGATGTAGAGTAGTGCATGGCGAATTGGAAAAACATAAAACATGAAATCGACATTTAAGGTTTGAAGAGAATGGTAGATGCATGGAGTAAAAAGGATGATCAAATCACATGGAATCAAGTAAAAAAATGCTCAATTCATCAACCTGGGCCAAATAGAAAAAGAGGGAGAGCACTAATCTCGTGATAAGTGAAATCATATCATACATCTACTCTCACATATTCAGAATGGCAAAAATAAAACAAAAAAACTAAGAGGTAAAGACAGGTCTATTAAAACTCACACTATGGTGAGGGGGTCTACCTCAAGCCCTTCCACAGGGCTTATTTTATGGTGGTTTACTAATAAATCACCTTGTTCGAAACAAAATAATCAGGTTGAATATTTCAATATTCATACTTTATAATAATGATATTGCGGGGCGAGCATCACCTTGTATTCCATCATTTTTCTCCACGTGGCCCTCTTCTTCGTGCAAATGACATAGAATGTTGTGACTCAGGGGAGTAACCCTAAACCCGACTGCCCGCGACCCGCGGTCCTCAAGCTCACTCGAGTCGCCTCCAGATGATTTCGCGGGCTGCCAGAGTGGAGCGCGGGAGCGTCACCCGCAGGCCATCGGTGACACTCGCGCGGGTGGCGCGTCGGGACTGTTCTCGTGGGACGCTTTCGCTTGTGTGGGAATAACTTCATGGCCAGTCGTCATACTCGCCTCACTCGCGACGGGCTATTGCGGGTAATGTCACAAAATCTGACGGAGATCGACGAGATCGACGAGATCCGATAGCCTGAGAGTAACACCACATTATGGCCATCGATCTCGTGGTACAGTTGTAAGGACTCGACTGCGCCCAGAAATCCGGCAGCTGGCACCCGGTCGTTGGCAGGAGATCGAGTCATTCGAGTGTAGTAATACACCGGAGGCCGGGAAATAATAATACTTTTGGACTGGTCGAGGGAGATCAGATCGATCATTGGGGCGTAGTCTGTAGGGATGGATGGGAACTTCCTGGCCTTCCGGTTATTTCCCTTCGTACTCCCTCGGATCATGCTTTGCGGCATGAGCGCTCAATGTCACATCATCATCATCATCATCCTCCTCCTTCAGCTGCGTTGTCGATATACTGTACGAAATACTGTACGCATCTCGTACAGTAAGATGAGCGGGTGGATGCATGGCTGGAGGAGGGGAGTGGGGCTGCCCGGCGTCATCGAAGTCGCCAATGCGACCCTTAAGTCTGAGAGGATCTTCGTTCCACGTTCCCCCGCGGTGGTGGGGGGTTTGGCGGATGGAGCAGATTCAGCGGGCGCAGGGCGGGACGATGAGCTCACAATGCCGGACAGAGAGCGAGAGAGAGGCAGGCAGGGCAGGCGCGGCGCTCACTGTAGTCGGTGTTGGAGCTGTCCCAAGTCAAAGGAGGAAAGTGTTCGCGGAGTGGCCGCTGCGCACCGGGCAGCGCTAGCTGGACCCGGTCACCGGACGAGACGAGCGACACATTGCGCTTGCGGCTCGGACGTAGGATTGTTTGTTCCGTTAGTCCGAGAAATAGTGCTCGCTGCTGTTGCTGGGTCGATTGCTTGCAGAGATCCGCGCTACTGTGGTACGCTCGCATGGCACCGGGACGAGCGTGAAACATTCAGGCTAGCTGCCGATGCTCCTACGGCAGTGGGTTGAATCAGGACCAGCTCTAGCTGCCTCTGCAGCTAGAGGCCATAGGCGATGCAGCTAGGACTGCGGGCGAGCAGGAGGGTTCGAGAGTCCGAGTTCAAAGGGTGAGCCTGTGATGTATATATTCTCTCGGAGAATGTATCCTCGCAGGCTCTCAAGGGTAAGGAATGACCGAGGGGAAAGAAACGAGACGGGGAAAAAGAGCAGCAAGGAACGGCCACTCCGCCTAGAATATAGGGGGTGGGGGTGAGAGAGGGAACGGCATGGGACCCGGAGGCTGGGGAGGAAAAGGAGATAAAGAAGCTCAGAATCTCTACTGTACTCGGCCGAGAAGTGAGGGGGCGAGGAGGCGGTGGGGGGTGGCACACCCACCGCAGATTAGGAATGGAAGGAATTGGGCGGCACTGTAATACGAGGACGGGTGTAGGATCGACACGGCTCGATGCGGAGAGACAGACCCCTTTGAAAGGCTCAAAGCATAGAGGCAGGAAAACGTAGAGGTACGTTTAGAATGCCCGTCTAAATGCTGACGGGATTCTAAACATAGACCCGACCGAGTGCTGAGAGAGAGCGCGGACGAACGACGGGGTAAATAAGGAAAGAGAGAAAGGTGAAACAAGCAGATCGGTGATCTAATGGCGGCAGAGGGACTGGGAGGTGGGAGCGAATGATATGATGAGCTACACACGCCTCTTACTATACGGGTTCCGCGGCGAGGTTCGGGAGTGAGACGGGCAGCAGGAGACTGGTGCCCGTCCCACCCTCTCCCACTCCCTCTGCCGCCGTTGGATACCGATCTCCTTCAAGTTTCTCTCTTTTCTTATTTACACACGGGGGGCATAGCCCCCGGTCCTTTTCCTACAGTCCGTCCCATTCCCGAACCTCGCCGTCTTATTAGCTAATAAGACTTTTGGCTAGATCAACCCCCACCGTGAAGAACTCACCCGCCGATCGCTATGGCCGCCGTCGTATTAGAGTGAGTTCTTCACGGTAATCAAACTTTTGGTCCGGGCCCTGAAATACTCACCTGCCGGTCGCTATGGCCGCCGTCTTATTAGAGTGAGTTCTCCACGGTAATCAAACTTTTGGTCCGGGCCCTGAAGAGCTCACCTTTCGATCGCTATAGAAGACCAGGAGGGCCGCCCCGCTCCCTGGTTTGGAGGAGCTGAAGAAAAGAATACTTTGGAAAAAAAGGACCTAGTTTTTTTTGGGAACCCCAAACATGCTCCTCCATATCTCATGCTCCTCTAAACCAGGGAGGAGAGGGAGACACATTGCCTTTTTTTACAAAGTATTCTTTTCTCTTTTCCTCTAACCCAGGGAGCGGGGCGGCCCTCCCGGTCGAAGCGGGTGGTCGGGCTGCGGGGGGAGGGGGGCGGGAGGTCGGGCTGCGGGCCGGGCGGGCAGAAAGCCTTCCGGGGCAGCTCTCGCGTTCCCCCGGTTGTAAGGAGCCCTGAAGAACGGGACGCTAATCAAACTCCTGCCCGTCCCATTCTCGAACCTATTTATATACGCTCGGTTCTTTCGAACCGAGCGTATATAAAGAGGCTCGGGAGTGGGACGGGTTTAGAATTCCGTCCGCGCTCTCTCTCCTCTCTCTCTCACCCTGGAGTGGGGTGTCTCCCCCTACCCGCACTCACTCACTCGCTCTTGCTCGTCCACAGCTTCCTGTCTTTCACTTCTTCATTCTCTCGCTCTCTGTCTCCATCTTTCCTTCGTTACCTTTTAGCATCTCTGTGCTCTTTTTTTTCTTTTGCCTCCTCCTTTGCTCTCTCTCTCTCTCTCTCTCTCTCTCTCTCTCTCTCCCCTTCCTCTTCTGAGCTCAGCTCTGTTTCGCACTTCATGCATGCCGCTGCCACTGCGAAAGTGTTGATGGTCGTAATTTCCATGGGGTGTGCTGTCTGTGGCTTGAGCTGCTGAGTTCGAAAGCGAGCAACGGAGGAAAGAAGGGGGACGGAAGCAAGCGTCGATAATTGAGTGCAAAAGGAGCGAAGGGCCGAGGTCAGTGTGCGCTCCACGAGGTTTGACGAGCGAAGCACGCGAGCGAGGACGGAAGGCGTACCAGAGAGCGGCGAGAGAGATGCAGACCTTCTTGTTCGTCGACAGGTCTTCGTGGAATTTTGAGCTCGGCATGAGTGCGCTGCTGTAGCGCCTAGAACAGAATGTGTTGAGAGGTCGACTGCGACTCGAGGGAGGGCCAAGCGAGTGGGCGAGGCAGGCAGAGGTGGTGCTTCTCCGGGAGCGACTGCCGCCGGCCCGTATCGAGCACTCCCCATGGAGGTGCTGATGGAGCAGATGAACTACGGCGGGGCTCCAGACTTCCAGCTTGCGAGTTTCCTGGACGGGTTGGACGCGATGATGATTTCCATGGACCAGGGCGGAGGCAACCAGCAGAGCTCGTCGCCGTCTCCCTACGCCAATGCGGGAGTGAGCTACGGGCAGAGTCCGTCACCTGTTTCGCAGTCCTCCTTCGTCGATGTGAGCTCCGTGCAAAGTCCCCCGGATTCTGTCTACAACGACACCCTCGATTCCGAAATCGCGCAGTCGGATATGTCCGCATTGACCCAGAACTTCGTCGTCAATGAGCCCTGGTTCGACGACTCTGGCAACCTCGTCTCGTTTCCGATCTCGTCGGACGCCCCCAGCAAAAATTCCGCAATCGGAAGGAGCCCCGCACCAGCAGGCCTCGATCAGTCGTACACGCAGGATCTTTTTGAACAGCAATTTTGTCACGAGGAGGAAGACATGCGACCACAGTTTCCATCACATTCGTTTGGATCGGCCTACGGCTTCAATAACACGCCATTCTCGCTCCTCAAAGGCACCGACACCGCTTCATCCGTGGGCTCGTGCGGCAATGGATCGTCGGGCAGTAGTCTCTCGAGGGGCAGATCAGTGGGCAGTGTTTCCAGCCCTCGATCGTTCGGCGTGGCTCCGCAGCGAATGCTCCTGCCGCCTCTCCGGAGCAACAGCAGTACCCGAATCCAAGCTTATCCGAACTCAATCTTCCAGCAGGAGCCAGGAGTTATGAAGTGGAGCGCTCAACCTGCACAGGCATCAGCACCTCAACAGCAACAGCAGCAACAGCAACAGCAACGGCAACAGCAGCAGCAGCAGCAGCAACAGCAGGCGCTACGACGACCAGCGCTGCCGGTGGAGCCGGAGCAAGAGGATTCAGGACTGCGGCTGGTGCACTTGCTGATGGCGTGCGCGAAGGCGATTCAAGCAGGGGACCGTCATTCTGCAGAGGCGACGGTGAGGAAGATCAAGCAGGCCGTGTCCATGGCTCCGCAGCAGTCAGCGGGCCCTATGATCAAAGTGGCTGCTCATTTCGCTGAAGCGCTCACCCGGCGGATCTACGGGGTGTCTCCTAATTTTCAAGAGGCCATGCTATCATCAGCTAGCATGAAAGCCGACTTCGAGAACTTTTACGATCTCAGCCCTTACTTGAGATTTGCGCATTTCTCCACCAATCAAGCGATCCTGGAGGCGTTCACAGGCGCGAATCACGTTCACGTGATAGATTTTCACCTGAATTACGGGTTGCAATGGCCTTGCCTCATGCAGGCGTTGGCTATGCGGCCTGGCGGGCCTCCGACCCTGAAATTGACGGGCATCGGGCCCCCAGAGCTGGGCGGAGAAGATTCTTTGCAAGATATTGGCAGGAGCCTGGCGACCATGGCCGGGGAGTTGAATGTGAACTTCAAATTCCGCGGCGTAGTGGCAGAGAGGTTGGACGATATCCAACCGTGGATGTTGCAGGTTCAGCCGGGGGAGGTGGTTGCGGTGAACTCCATATTCCAGCTGCACAAGCTGCTGCACGCGGAAGGAAGCAACGAAGCGGGACTTGACGAGGTTCTGCGGGCGGTGAAGAGCTTGAATCCCAAGGTGGTGACCATTGCGGAGCAGGAGGCCAATCACAACATCCACAACTTTCTGGATCGCTTCGTGGAAGCGCTGCACTTCTACTCCTCCATGTTCGACTCTCTCGAGGCTTCCAAACGACCCACGGACAGCTCGGACCCACGGACAGCTCATCAGCGGCAAGAAATGTACAAGGGGGCAGAAAGGTACCTGGGGAGAGAAATCTGCAACATCGTCGCCTGCGAGGGCGCCAAGCGAGTCGAGAGACACGAAAATCTGGAGATGTGGAAACTGCGGCTGCGCAACGCCGGCTACCAACAGCTCCGCATGCCATCCACTGCCTACAACACAGCCAGCTTGCTGCTCAATCTCTACTCGGGCCAGGGCTACAGAGTAGAAGACAACTGCGGCTGCATCACTCTCTGCTGGGACGGCAAACCTTTGCTCACCGCATCGGCCTGGCAGTAGTGCTAGCTCTGGCTTTCGATTTCCTCGCGTTTTTCAAGCACTAATTTCATCATCATCCTTCTTTTCTTCTACCCGATCGTCTGACTTCCATTCTCGCACAGGCTTATTATCGACGATTGACGATTGACGATCGATGAGCGATGACTGATTGACTGACTGACTGACTGACCGACTGACTGACTGCCGACCCGACCCGACCAGCCGTGCCCAGCCAAGCGAAGGAAAATCTTAGGGCTAGCGAGAGGGTGGAAGACGAGGGTGGAGCCGATCGTTTGCTTATGCAAGCCGAGATTTAGGGCTAGGTACGGGCTCAATAACGTTACGGGACGAATCCGGAGCAAACGCTGCGACGAGGGAGGCGGAGAAGAAGAGCAGAGGTGGAGAGGGCAGAGGGCGAGGGCTCCTCAAATCTTTTTTTCCCGACCGACATGATCGAGTTCGAACGAATTGCTGTACAGTGGCGATGATCATCCACCAGCGTGCGTGCCTGCATACAAGTGACAGAGCAAATCAAGCCTGCAATGATGCCCTCAGAGGACAGTGACATCACTTCCATTCCACTCCCTCGAATCGCCATTGGGAAACACAACGCGAAGGGAAAACGCCTCAAGGGTCAAATTGGATATGATGAATATTATAAGATGAGAGATAAAGAAGCGTAGAAGTACCGAAAGTGCGTCTTAAGCTTCCAAGGTTCCCACTTTCCTTGTGTCGTAGTGTCCCTGTAGTCTCTCTTTCTTTCTCTTGTCCTCCTATTGGGGATGGATGAAATTCTTCTCATCCCGTTAAATTGTATACTACAGTGGGGTGACAGGAGCTTCGTGGCCTTGACCATGAATCTGCTAAGTCTCCTCCACCAATCAAAAATCTGAATAGCAAAACACAAAGAAAAATTTACTCGTTTGCTTGTCTTTCGTCTGAATGCACTCTCTTCACGATTCGAGCCGTTCTGTGCTTTATTGTTTCATGATTATCATCATCTCAGGTTGTATTTTCAAATTGACGATATGTCTATGTTCAGTTGGAGGTTGGCATTGATTGAAGTCGAAATGATTTCGACTGGTTGATCTCGTCTTGTGATTGCTTCTCTCGCTTTATACGGTCGGATTGATGTCAGGAAGTTTTTTGGATGATTGGCATGCGCGGAGTGCAGTCGGTAGCAACGAAGCAATTGTGAGTACTTGTACGATGCGCTACTTATTCTGTTCTAGATCATACCGTTCCCGAAGCAGCATTTCTACGACTTCACAGACTTTCGCGGTGCAATGAAAGTCAAAATATTGGACATTCACTTGCAAATTGGAGGATATTGCTGCAATCATTTGACTTTATCATCAGTGTCTGTCACCAGATTTAGGCATTAGCAGGTCATTAAAGTTCAGAATTGGACACATCGACTTCGAACTGTAGAATATGCCGAGTCTGAAATAATTGCAGAAACAACAGAAGCCATAGACAATGACATCGAAGTCAAAAGAATTTTCGAAATTATAGTCGAACTCAAGGCCTCTGGTTACTGATGGTTTTTGGCACCAGACACGTCACTACGTTGAAGATGAAGAAGGTGAAATCCAATAGATAGAATGGCAACCCTGACGTTCAACTGAGCACGAGTTTCATGAGCTAAATGTTTTTCCTACGTACACCTACCGCAATTGAAATTTTCCAAGAGATTATCGGATCTACTCCAGGAAGAGGACTGTTAGGGCTTTTGTCTGTCAATCAGTCGTGGTCGCCGGCATAAGCTGTATTATTCCCTTTAACCTCAGTCTTGCACTTCACTTCACGATGCTCCAGGACGGGCGACATACAAGCATTTTCGCAATGTTCTCCTTGTATCCGTGGTCTTGTCCTGCACTTGCACTCTCAAAGTTACAGCCAATCCTTAGCAATACCTACGGCAGTTCTGCGGTGACCAGATGCTTCTGACCTATCAACACCAAACACCTAACCCATGAGATCTGTACGGGAGAGAAGTGTTCAGGTGGAAGTCCTCCAAGTGCCTCTAAATCCCACTTTCCGATGGATGTTGGAATGTATGCGATCTTTTATCCACAGGAAGCCTAAATAGTTGAATGACTGTACTGGTTCAAGAAAGGTAGGAACCTTTCTTGGTGCGTGACATGGAGCAGACTTGACCGGTGACCCAGTCACTCACTGCACGGGTATCCTGCGTGCTGGCAATCACATTTCGTTCAGCAAAGCCGGAGTTCGTTTGATTGTGTGGCACTGACTGTGTGCCTTAGGGCATTGTGCTATATCCATCGCTTTGTAGGAAGATGATCAGCATCATAGATATTCGATGGTTGTTGTTCAACAAAGAGAACGAAGATGTCAAGAATCAGTAGCTGCCTCGTTGAGAACTAGAATGTACGTGATCAGTCAAGTCCGTCCATTTCTCAGCTGTTGGGAGTTACTTCGATCAGAATTTGGCCACAACATATCAACTTCTGTATCGAAGGAGCTGTACTCCAGCAGCAGCTACTGAGTTCTCAGATCGTCTTTTCGTTTGCTTTGATTCTCAGCCGCGAAGAATAAGGATCACATAGAGTGACCAAAACCTGCCCGGCAGGTTCTGTCACTCTGGCTGCAATCTGTTTTCGCCGATTGCAGGCAGAGTCAGTTGACACAAGCAACAAGTTTAGATTTAGGCTCCGTGTTAACCACTGTTTGAGATTCTCGATGCATAAGTAGCAGATCCAGGGCAAGATTCGTCTAAATGCTATAGCACCTTTGGTACCATCTTCCGATAGGACAAAATATTCGGAGGCTTCCCACCAATCTCAATCAAGTCTAGCCCGCTAGGATTGTCTGCTGCTCGAACTCTTCAGCATGTGCACAAGTTACTGATATGAAGCTCAAATGCACAGGAAGGTAGGCAGGCAGCCAACCAATCTGTGAGCGGAATGGGATAACTATCTGACTGAGCATTCAATCTCAAATCTCGAATACGGAATACAGAAGAACCTTTGGTCGTTACTGCAACCCAAAATTAGAGTCCAACAGCAATGACTCTATTGTCAGAACAGAAGGGAGCAATGAATCTATTGTCATGAAAAATTTAAGAAGGGAATAAAACTGACTAAACTCGAACGACAGAAGAGAGTTGGAAGAACCATGCTCCCTCCCCTGAATGTGAGGCATGCTATTCTGTCTCGATAGTAGCATGCCTTACAGATAGCTCTGTTCCAAAACCAACCCCACCCTTGCTCCTGCTCCTCTTGCAAAGCAGATTCTTAATCGTCCATGCACTTGCATGCGTTTACGGACGATAGATTGATGGTTGCAATGAAATAAGTCATGGTCGCGTTTGAGCTTATGCCACAGACAGCACCACAGTAGCTCCGACCTCCGTCCCTCCCTGTCTCTTGCACACCATGGACGCAAATATCTTGCTGCCTCTGAATCCCGGAACAAACATGGATTCATCGGTCGAATCATATTCCACCGCCTATAAATAGTGCACGCATTTCTTGCTGCGGCTGCGACCGCAGCTCGAGAATTTTGGAGAGCAAGAGCAGGGGTAGAAAGCAGCTTCTCAGCAGGACATCGCGAGTTCTAGGAGAGCAAAGGAGGGGCAGGGAAGGGAAGGACGAGCTTATTAATTTTGGAGAGCAAGAGCAGGGGTAGAAAGCAGCTTCTCAGCAGGACTTCCCGAGTTCTAGGAGAGGAAAGGAGGGGCAGGGAAGGGAAGGACGAGATTATTTACAATCATGAGATGAGACGGATGCGAAGAAGCAATGTGGCATGCCGTCTCGATGCTTATTGCTGCTGCCGCAACTCAGAGCTGCGGGCTGGCACGTGGATCGTAAGCTGCATGGTGTTGACAAGTGTGGACCTAGGAGCATTACTTGGCTCGCGGGGATCGTGTCACCATGTGACGCTTGTACACGTGGGGAGTTCGTCACCAGGGCACAGATCATCGGATTGGCGACATTTCGCTTGCGCCAATGCGTATCGATCCCTGACTCAGAATTGAATCGGACCATTGGCCCGGAGGCTAAGCGCTCGAAACTTTGGAAGAGCCTCGGAGCCGTGAAGATTGTAGACTATACCACATGTCGAGTTTGTGGGCAAAGTGCTCCCGCGGTAACATTATCCGCATGCAGTGGATTTCCAATTCCTCTCATGGCTTCAAAACTTTCTGCAGAGCTCCTTTCTCAGATCGCATATATACTCCCAATGCAGGAGCTGTCGAGAGGCGGAGACGAGAGGAGAGTGTAGTTTGGTCACAGACGGTCGTGCGAGTTGATCAGTTGCAAGGCTGCAATGGCGAGGAGGAGTCTAGACCAGCGCCAGAGACTGAGCTACGATGAAGTCCATACCATGTTCCTCGACAGAATGGGTGAAATTACAGAGACAGGAGCCGAATGGGTGGCTTGTAATGTCGACAAGAGGATGCTCGTCCTCAACAGATTGAAGACGAGGTTGGTCAACACCTTAGATACGAGAATTGATGCAGGCCTGGCGCGAACCGGGCTCTCCTCTTCTCATCGACAGCGCGGAGTGAAGCATTACTCGCCATTTGCGCGAGTAGCTGACGTCTTCGATGCCGACACAAAGGTTCGTCACGTTCCTTTCAACGATCAATCAGCTACCCGCCGAGCTATTCTCTCAGAGAGAACGAGTAGCATCTCGATTCACTTACAAGACGGGTAGACGATGCTTTGGAACTCTGATATTCCAATTTGTGTACAGCAAGAGTATGTCGTTGAAAATTGTTGCACGGTTTTCTTCAGGAAAAGCTTGAAAAAGCCAAAGAGGAGGTTGTCGACACAGCTAAAGATTACCGAGTTCCTGTGCCGGCAGCAAATTTGCCATATATTGGTTACGTGCACAGTCTGACCATCAAGCAGGTGAGCAAATTTTGAGATGAAAGGTAAATTCAACTGCGTGTCATCTAAAACTAAACCGAAAATCGTGAGATTGCTGTGACCTGAGGAGTTGCGGACATTTGAACTTGGCATTGGGCGCTGTGCAACAGCTTCTGTGCGGAGTGATTGCCGGTGCTGTGGCGTCGACAGTGGTCGTCCCTTTCGACGTTCTACAGAGCAAAGTCATTGCTGGGCAGGGAGGGCGAAGTTTGGGACAAGTTGTGAGCACTGTTGCCCGAGAAGAAGGGCTGCAATCTTTGATGAAGGGAAGCTTGAATTTCAACATTATCAAGAATGGCATAGAGAAAGGCCTGCAGGTGAGAACTGGTTGCAATCAAATTCTTCCAGCGGATACTCCTCTTTCTGCTTCAATTCAAGTCAATTCAAATCAGTTCAGTTGACTCAATTCATTCTACTCCAGTCTAGTCCAATGCACGGACATGAAAAGAAGTGCCTGGATAATCATTGTGGATCGAAGACACGCCTTACCTCTCTGAGCACGCCGCCCCCCAAACTTGAAACAACTTGACAGTTATGCTACTTTTGTGCAGTTCACCATTTTCGAGGCTGTGAAAAGGAATCAGCAGAGGAAGAAGGGCAAGCAGCCCAAAGTGCTCCCGATTCCTAGAGCAATACCGCTCTCCACAGCAGGAGGCGCCGCTGCCGGGTTCATAGGCACCTTGCTCAGCTACCCTCTTCAACCTGTTTTCTCCAGATGCCTTCTCCAGGTTCGTCTCACAACTCCATCCAATCCGTCCGTACTCAGCTCAAATGCCCCGCCATTACTCCTGGATATTAGAGCTTGACTAATTTTGTAACACGATCCTGACGAGTACCTGAACGGAAGGTCTGATCCTAACCATGTTGTTTTCAGAGGAAATAATGTGAGACGAAATTGGTTTTTCCTTTCTTGAACTTTTGGTACTTGCAGTTCATAGAAATAGAAGGAATATCAGAAAGCATGCAGTGAAAAGGAAAGTAAAACTTGAGAGAACATGAATTTCGGTCGAATAAATTCAGCAAGGTGAAAGTTGAAACACGTATCGGACGAAGATTGAAATAAATTGTGGCTTTAGATAGTTCAGGGTAATGAAGTTTATGCTCAACAAACCACTAATAGTTTCTCCCCCTTTTGTAAGAAAAAATAGAAGACGATATTATTTCAGTCAGGTAGCTCATACGATGAGGGCAACCCACAGTTAACTCGAGGCTGGGGCTCTTACGAGGTCCAATCCGAAGATGACACACTTGGGGTCTGATATTGTAACCACCGATCTATCTCTGTGGTCAAGGTGTTGTCTCTTCATCGATGAGTAGACTCCATGTCTGCAGTGAGAAGAAAAGAGTTGAGGTATAAGCTTAGCGGAAGGTTATGTTGAAGTTCTGTCAGGCAGCTAGAACATATGTACTTGTTCTCGAGACTGGATGGACTGAGGCTTTGACGGTGGTATAAGAAGAATGCACACTCAATCAGACAAAAGCTTAACATATTCTGGTTGTATATACTGCAGCCCGAGAAGTACAACTCCATGATTGGAACATTGAAGACCATTGTGAAGAACGAAGGAGGCATACGTGAGTTGTATCGGGGTATTGTTCCTGCACTCATGAGCATGGTCCCAAGTGCAGCCATCAGTTTCTACACCTACGAGACCTTGAAGAATAAGTACGTGGCGGCTGAACATTTACAAAATCCTCAAGCCCTAGCATCTCTGATAATCGGAGGAATCGCTGGTGCAGTGTCGAGTACCATCACATTTCCTCTAGAAGAGGCCCGCAGGCAAATAGTTTACAGCACGTTATCGAAGGAGGCAGTAAATATTGGCAATGTTCATTACAATAACACCTGGCAGGCATTGCAAGGTATTGTGAAGAGGGATGGTTTCCGAGGACTGTACCGTGGCTTGACACCCACCATTCTTCAGATCGTTCCCATGACCGCCATCACGTTCATGGTTTATGAGTTTGCGAAGAGGGCTCTGATCGCACAGGGCGAAGAAAGTCCTCATGAAGTCTTAGATGCCAGCGATCTTCCTCCGGAGGAACAATCGAAAATGCCTTAGTTTTCTTTCCTAGACTTTAGCACTCAAAGTTTGTCCGTGTAGTATACCTGTACATTAGATCGTCACGCAACGACTAGGACTTGTCTAAAGTTGCGTTTGTACCATACTTGTACACTAGGATGGAGTAGCTGTATGATCAAAGTCTTTCAATGAGAAATGTGCATCCATCTGCGTTTTTCTCCTTACTTACCTTAATGTCGAATACACGAGGAGTGGCACTTGTGCAAATAATGGTACAGAAGCTCAGGTATCGTTACTTACCACTGTTTTGACTATAATATGAAGAGCAGTTGAACTACCGTGCACATAGATCATCGGTAACTATACTGATACATGTGAACTGTAGATGAACGTATACTACAAGTATCTCCCGCAGCTGATTATTACGGAGCACGAAGTGGTCTACAAGATAATAATTATAATAATATCTCCGAGCGCACACCAAGACTACGCCGACTGTATTTACTCTTAATTACTTATTAAGAGTAAATACAGTTGGAATATTCTCTTGATTACTTATTAAGAGAAAATTCCTTTATCTACTCTATGATAAAGAACCTTAGATTATATTTCGTCATCATAAACCGGTTTCACTACAAGGTAAAACGAAAGCAAAAATTTTAGTTGCTGATACGAGTATTATAAATCACGATTGAAGGAAGATAAATATTCCAATTTCGAGAAAACAATAGTCTTTTCTTAAACAAAATAAGTAAAAAAAACATATAAATCGCACAATTCATAACAATCTTGCAGGTAAAAAACAGAAATTCGCAGTAAGAAACTTATACAATTTTCTTTTGGGAATAAGTTCCCCTTTTTTCCGTCAAACATTATATATAAAATTATAGAAATCTTCAATGAATTTAACGATGATGAAAATTGAACGAATCTTGTGAAAAAGTTGTAGTCGTATAAAGTTCCAAAGTGTACTAAACTCTAGGATACGGGTACTCTGCCGTTACAATAGATGATACCTTGTTTGAAACCTTTTAAAAAGCTTGCCATACATTCTTTGAAACTGACGTGAGAACGAAAATATTTGGAATTTTCACAATTGAAAACATTCTTTATAGTCGCATGACCATAAAGCTGTTTTTTTCTCACAGGAGATTCCTTCCAGACGCGCTTTGCCAGCGCGTGCGCATGAAATGTAATTGTGTAGATTTGCCATCATTTATCTCCATACTACTTGGAAGCATTAAGGGCGACAGAACTACATAAAATAAATGAATAATGGTACAGACTTTCTACAGTAGTAGGATAGAACAATAGTTCTCTGAGTTCCGCAAGGGCTGCCTGATTTGCTCCCTCCTCCTCTCTTCAACATCCTTCTTGTGTTTTCCACGTGCTCTCTCGTCATCTCTTCGTTCCATTGTGGTCATTCCTAAATTGCTGCTACTGCAGCACAATATCTTTATAAATATAACACAAAAAATCTGGTTAGATAAAACACAAAGATACGGCGCGACTGGAGTCGGAGAGGAGAACTCGGTGCAAAGCACCTCGCTCTTTAATCCTAACTCCATAAGAATCTGTCACAGGACGCATGCAAAAGATTTTACTACTTCCCTTCTGCGACAATAGTTGTTCTTGAAGTGTGAATCGAGTAGAAGGAAATGGTTTCAAGGAGTTTATCTGTTCGAGATAATAATGGATAATAATCTGTTCCAAACCAGTGATGGTGGTCCGGGTGTTACAGCTTGGTCACTTTAACTCAGGAACTTGGCTTCTGCAGATCAGTAGTGAGTGGTTGGTATCACTGCATACAGGAGTCAGAATTTTATCCGGTCAACTTCTTCTACGATCACTCCTTCCAATCTATATTGCACTGTCACATTACTCAAAGTGAGTTTGGCTCGAAGCCCAAGGACTTTTGACCAAGCAGGAAAATGTACCTCATTCTACTGCGTAGCATGATGACAACATCACTGCTTAATTTAAGCGACACACCTCCTTGCAATATCTTTTTCATGCTGTTCCAGCTTTTCTAGGAATAGTTTATTCCTTAGGCAGACTTCTGCTTTCCTCAATAAAGAGCTCGATCTATGATACAAACTGTTCAGAGTATACAGTGTGAACTCTGCATAAAATATTTGCTGGATTCCGGATTCACTTGCCCGTGGTGGTTGAAGTTTCTTCCTCGCATGGGAAAAGGAACTGGAAGCTGGGAGAGCTCGAGCTCGAAATCCGAGGGAATGAGGAAAAAGTGCCTTCTGCGTAAAGAAGGAGTATGAGAACTTCCAACCATAGGATTAAAGGTGTGGGATTTTGTGCCATGGACAATTCGTTTTCTGTACACCTGCTCATATGTGTCTCGGAACAATGCAGTGCTGTTGATGTGATTACCAAGTGTTCGACTCGATATGCAGCATGTGGCTCGCTTTTGAGACGGATTTTCTTCAATATTTGAGGGACACGTCCTCCTCTGACAGAGAGATCTGCCGTGGCGACTTCAAAAGTGGAAGTCGAAGGGCCGAATTGTCCGTCCCATCATCAAGACATGTAAGTAGGGGCATGGATATTCGACCGAATTTACACCAGAGCACGTTTTCAGTTTCAGACTGAAACGAGCGGATCCATCCATGACCATTCTACAAGTCTACAAGAGGGTCGATGCGAGTTTTGTCGTGACTGAGTAGAATACTGCAATTCTTAAGCCCAGAAGTAATTGCTGCTGCCCGAGACTGCCCCACCTCAAGATTCCGTTGCTTAAAGCTGGATGATGACACCCTCTTTGGAAGCTGGACTGCAGTTTGTGCTGGACGGAAGTCATGTCGTCTCTCATTGCACTGCAGTTCAAGCGAGTGATTGAAGTTTCGCCGTCCTAAGTGAACCGAAAGTGGCTTGCTCGATCACTGATGCCAGCTTATGGTCATTTTCTTATACGGAGATCCTGGTACTGGACTAGGTTCCATCACTTGGGGCTTGGCACCAAACGAAAGCTGGTTTGGTCTATCTTGCCATCCAGACGTCTAGCAACGAGGGGACACACCTCACCTCCTCAAGACCCCACAGCATCGGATTGCTCGAAATGGTCTGATGGATGGATGGATGGATGATCTGGTACGTACGAGCAATTCTTGAGAATCACGATGATGATCTGCAACACGAGAGCGAAGAGCTCGAGATCTCTACGACGCTCAAAGATCAACAACCTCAGGGGCTTGGAGGCTCATTTTCTGAGTCGAGAAATGTTTTTAAAAGTGTGTGGAGATCTGTCGGGGCAGCCAGACCGCTGGCACGTTCCGAGCTGACATGGTAACAGCGCCGTTCGACGATCAAGAATGATTTCAAGGCAGGTCGTGCTGGTGCCGGTTGAATTTGGGAGGACCGAGAGCGATTTTTCTACTACAGCACAGAAGCTCATTCGATGATTCGACAGCATCTCATTCGGTCCATTTGGTAGACCCAGAGTCCTGCAGACAGGGCCCAAGCCCCCTCCCTCCCTCCCTCCCTAGCTGCAACCCGCACGCTCGGGAGAAGCGTTGCGAGCACCAGGAAAAGCTAGTTCGAAATGTCGTTGCTCTTCGCGTGGGGACTGTGGGATCTCGTGCTTTTTCTTTTCTTCGTCTTTCCTCATCGAGTGTTGACCAGCGCAGCGCAGCGCACCTGCGACCTGACATGCCCTTCCCGACATCATCCACCGATAAACACAATGAATAATCAATCTCCTTCGCCGTCTCACGAGTCACGACTATTCATTCATTCAACCCATCCATCAATCACCTCCTCGGCGAGATCTAGCCAGGCACCCCGCCAGCCCACTCACAGCAAAAGCCGATTGCGGTCTTGCGGCACAGTCGGACACAGTTCAGAGCTGCAGCCGAGTTCAGAGTCTGTGTGATCAAAACCGCGAGGGCCCGGAAGCTTTTCTTCTCACGGGGCCCAACAGTTCCGCTTTCCCTCTTCGCTCGTCCCGAATTTCGAGTCCGAGCGAGATTCGCCCCTGCTACGGCCGTCGCTCCGCCCAAGCCCCCCATTGATCGATCGGGCTCTTTCTTTCTGTGCTTGTGCAAAAGCCCGTCGCAGTTTCCAATTCGCGGCGTGTTTATCCTTCTCCACGACTCGAAATTGGAGTGCGGTACGGTCGGGGGACGAGGAGGAGGCGGAGTAGGTCGGGTGTACTGTATTAGGAATCTTGGCGTGGTCCGAGCCTCTCTTCCCCGTTAGGCTCCGAGGGTGGGGTTCTGACCGTTGAGCCGGAATTATTCTAGTCCCCAGGACACGGCCCTCCCTCCACGGACTCCGAGTACTGTACAGTAGAGCGTGCGCTCTCGGGGGCTTCCAGATTTTCTAGAGTGTAGTAGCTGCGAGCTCCTTTGGCGTGGGCACTAAATTGAGCATCATCTGCTCATGAAGGTTGCTATTGGCGGCTATGGCAGAAGAGGAGACGAGGTTCCTTTGGCGTGGTGATGACCCACTTCGATTTGGAATGTCCCCGGTACGATTAGCGGTTTGTACTCACGTCTTATCAATTCAAATCTACACGTACCGCCGCAACATGTACCCTCGTATCACACAAAGTCTGCGCAAATTCGCCGGAACGGAAAACCGAAAGGTACATAAATTTTCTCTTCGACAGTTGTTATTAGTAACCTTCCGGAATATAACGATATAAATGAGTTGTGATGATTTGACATACGAGTAAGATGAATGAGCTCGAGGACGGTGTTCAATTCTTTGCCGTAAATATCATACGAACGGCATCGCATGCGTTAGAAACGAACCAATGCCACAGCCATGAACAATAGTACGAGGCCAAGGCACGATATGCGAAAATAAGTGGTAATTTCACAATAGTGGTGGAAATGTAAAAGTGAATCTAATTGAATGCGTAAGTGAAGTCAATATTATTAGAATCTCATTAAATTATTTTTTATGCTGGATTAGGAAGGCAGGTAAGCCAAAACATCATTCGATCATATTATTTCACACATAGACACCACCTACTATTAACTTGAGCGGAATTTAGCACTTTAAATTGTACACTTAATCACATTGAAAATATCGACAAATAGTTTGAGTCTAACAAATCGATTCGTATACTTTCCACATGACTTCTATACGATAATATGGGTAATTATTTGAAACATGAGCCATAACATTCTTCGAGTTTACGCTTTTAGGCACTTGTAAAGAATAGGTTTGAAAGATTCTTCAAGTTATTAAGATTAGTTCTTCAAAGTGAATAACTTCTTGGCTGAGCAAGTATAATAAGCTAATGACTATAGCCCTTCTTAGAATGAGATAGCCAAAAAATATATAAAAAAAGCTACCCTTGAAATTGTCAACTAGAGCAAAGTTGGATGAGAGTGTCGTAGCACATCAGTTATCTACGTTGAGTGTGTTGTACGATTGATCTCTTTACACAGAAAGACATCCACACATGATCATATTACAAAGATCTTATTACTCTTATTAAATGCCTAACACTTACACGTGGTGAGGGAAGCTCGATGATAAAATATAGAAAGGTGTACTCCATGCTATGTTCTTCACCGTACAGATGCTTGATTATTTTTAAAAATTGATGTAAGCCAGTGATTCAGGTTACTGTCGTGAATCAACAAGGAGTGCAAGATCCGACGGCTGCGGTCGGTTCATGTACCGTGGTGGTGGAGCAGCATCCGAGCGCATCTACAGAATCTGCAGAACCGGAAGTACCAGTACTGCTGACCGAGTACCGGCAGGAACCAGTTCACATCCTGTCTCCCTGGGTGCTGCTGGGTCCTACTCCTGTCCACGCGTCCGCGGACAAGGCATCCGCCAACATTCGGCCGCAAGACACGCGTCGCCGCAGCTCAGAGAAAATGGTTGTCGGAATCTACTTCGAGAATTTCGTGGCGAGCTCGATTGCGATTCCGGGCCCTGGGTCCGGCCGTGCATGGCCGCTATACGTGGCCTCCATGTCCGTCCGCCCGCAGTCAGCAGTCAGCGACGCGACCTTTGTTACAAAGCGTGTCCCGAACAACTTTCAAGTCTGCGGCCTTTAATCTATCGGACTTTCCTCGGAGCCCACCACGGAATCGAACGGTGGATTAGATCGCAGCCCGCATTCGGCACCTTGGCCGCCGTCGATCTCTTGTTAAGGTAAGGTCGGATCCTAGGCTCAAGTGCGTCTGGTTTCACGGTGTCTTCACTTCAAGTCCCAGCACGCCAATGAGTCGCGCCGACGTGTCCCGGATGAAAAGGTTGTGGATATAGCAGCAGATCGACGGCTGCAGGTGATCTTGGAATCTAGGAGGCGTCGGATGACGGGATCGCGGCATGAATACAAAACTGTGCCCGATCTGTCGATCAGTATTTAGCAGCGCACAAAGGGATCGATGTTATTCATTATTCTGAGTCTCTGAGTATCTTCGTTCTCCTTCCGAAGGTCTAAAGCTCTGCCGTCATTCTGAGATTGTCCCGTCCGATTTTCTGAATTGATTCTCTTTCTGACTTCTGCATTTTTATTGACAAGTCGGGTATCATCTTTGGTTGCATCGCCGAGGGTGCTGATCTACATTCTTGATTACCGGAACGACTAGATTTGGTTCGGTGTTCCATGAGAGACTTGGAATTCGTTATATCGGCTTGAGCTTCAGTCTGAGAAATATTTGTCTTCAGCTACTCTTCCATCCAGTCTGTCTCCCGCACTGCAAATCGATCAGTTGTCAAGGGTGCTACCATGGCGTTGGCGGAGACTATAGTCGGTATCATCGGTATGTGCGCTCAGTGTATTATTTCAAAGTTGTCGGGCTTTGTCTCTTGCCATATCGCTCTCAAGCAGGTTGTACATACGAGCTTCGAAATCTATCCGAAATGCTGCTCTCTTTCTTTTGTACTCGAACCTGGATGCATATCATTCACTGATCGAACTCTGTGGTGGCTGTGGACATTGTTCAGGGAACATCATTTCAATATGCCTGTTTCTGGCGCCTGTGTAAGTCTCGTCTGCACTTCAGATGATTTCCATGCATTATCGCACCTCCGTCATGAGTCAGCTGAGCTGTCAGTTGTGGTGACTGTCGCTGTTTCAGGACATTGAGTATCGTCTGCTTTCTACTGATATGCAGGAAAACTTTCCGCAAAATTATCAAAGCGAAGTCAATTATGAACTTCAAATCCACACCGTATGTCTGCACCCTTCTCAGTGTTCTCCTGTGGAGTTTCTACGGTCTCGTGAAGCCGGCTGTACTCATTGTCACCATCAACGGAGCTGGAACGTTTCTTGAAATATGTTACTTGATTTGTTTCTTATACTACGCTGACCGCAAAGCGCGAGTAAGTTTTCTTGCACTCCACCCCTAACGTCCCTACCTTTGCAAGTCGAAAGATTTTGTTTCTGCATGCTCACACACTTTCTTGCGATGAAATCTGATTCAAAAACCAATATCTTTCTCAGCTCTGTAGATTTCGTTACGAGACTTTGCAACCCTTGCTCTTGGTGGATCATCTATTAGTTGATAATCCAATTGTGAAATCTTTTTTTAGAGTAAGCATGCGGAAAGAAACTTCTTAGCTGCTTACAACTTAAGACGATGGCAGCTTTTTTTGCTGTTCCCAAAATTATACTCTCTCGTAAATCAGATGTCTACGCACCACGAATTATTTCTGAGTCTGGATTTGGAACAGATTAAAACCTCGCAATCGTTACTGTTGGTGCTGGCGATTTTTGGTATCGTTGTGGCATCCTCATTGACTGCTACAAAGGTTAAAGATACGCGAGTGATGGTCGCTGGCATAGTGTCTTTGATCTTCTCGATAGTCATGTATGCATCACCTTTGCGAGCTATGGTAAGTGTTACTGCTCAAATGCATGTCCTTGCATTCTAATATTTTGTAATTTTGGATGGTTACAAAGATGGCAGAACTACTGATTTAGGCTGCATGGGAACCTTGATGTCTTAAACGTAATCATGCACCTTCGGGAGATAGCTCATGCCCAATAACTTGCTTGTGACAGAAAATGGTTGTCCAGACCAAGAGTGTGACTTTCATGCCTTTCACTTTATCCGCAATCCTCCTACTGAATGGAACGGTTTGGTCCATCTACGCCCTACTGGTGAAGGACATCTATGTTGGGGTAAATACTTACCTTTAATACTCCAGTAGATGGACTGAATAATCTTGAAGTTTATTGCCCGCGCAGAGGTCTTTGGAAAGTTTTCACTTTTATGGTTTGCATTCTGCTCATCCTTGCACGAGACTAGTAATGATGGTCGTTGCACGAAGATGTTTTTCACTTGGAACTAATGACAGTCATTTTGCACAATTGAGCAGATTCCTAACGGAGTAGGAATGGTTTTCGGGATACTGCAAATTCTTCTGTATGTCTTGTACATGAAGAAATCAAGGAAAATACAGCTAGAAAAGGAAGCAGAAAAATCTCATATGCACAGCAACGGCCGCAAATCAGATGCTCCCAATGGTGATCACTCAATTGACATGGAGAAGCCCCCACTTTCTTCAAGTCCACATGCAATGGAACAAGATATGAAGGCTGCACAGGACACGAAAGGGTTGTCTGCTCTGCAGGGAGGAACTTCTCCTCGACCAGATGCAGCACCAGAGTTTACCAATGTACCTTTGGAGGACAAAGCAGTTCAGGATTATCGAGATCCACAGAGCCCGACTCCTTTGCCCACTTCAAATACTGATCAAATGAGACCACTCAGTGCTACGGATTAGGCCTCGGTAGATCCATTCAGTTCAGAGAGCCTTTCATCTTAGGTCATACACCAACCTGCAATTGACGAGCACGACGCACAAGCCCTCTGGAATTATAGTGAAGGATGTGATTATGAATGTAACAACCATATTCTTTCGCAAAGAGAGGCTTGAAGCAGATGGCTGAATGACGGTTAGTGAATATCCTTTTTCTTTTATCCGACCTTAGGTTGAGGATTGTTAGAAGAAATGCATCCCTCATAGACGATCCATGAATTTCAGGTTACGTAGGCTTCTACTTCAGATTCAGACATTACTGCAGGGCAGCTGTACAAATTTTTGCTCAATTTTCTATAAAAAAATGTAATTCAAACATTATCAAATATAATGTGTGGCACGGACAATGTCAATAGGACAGTTTCTCCCTGAACAGGAAATCGCAGCAGATACATTACAGAAACTATAATTTTTCTTGAGTGTCAACTGGATAACTATTGACCAGGAACAGAGTGAATACCCACGAACAACATTACACACAAGTAAACTGCTATTAATATATAACTCACATGACTCATAATATGTAAATAATACACCTCATCAGAAAATACTTGCGGATTGAAGTGTTTCAAGAGCAGTGCAGAATTTACTTGTCTTACACTCTGAATAAGAAATGAATCTATCCCTAAAGCACCCTCCTTTATAATTCACTTTTTCACTTGTGAAAGAATATGCTGTTATCCGGGTGTACCAGTCGTTGTTCTATTGCCAATGCCTGCGACTATACAAATAGCACGAGTGTCTCTTAACCTTCTGAACTAAATTTTGCGCAACATTTGTCTTCATATTAAAAAATTATATATCATAACATCTTCGGTTCAGCATAGAATAGTTACAACTGTACTCTGGATGAAGATCTTTTAAAAGAAAAAGACATTGAGCACTTGAAAAAAATAATTTGTTTCAAGCAGTCACAACCTTGTGAGAATTCATGAAGACATTTATACGATATACTAGTGTAAATTCTCCATGATAAGTGCATTATTCAATGACATTTATAGCACCACATCCGCATTGAATATGCTATTATTGTAAGATTGTTGCAAAATCAATATTATTCTTTGCTAAATTTTTTATTGCATGTTTAAAGAACACATTTTCTGACACTTCAACATGTGGTGATATTTCTAGTGCTTGACATTGGCTGAAAAAAGAAATGACAAATGGCATGCCACTTGTCCTTACTTTTTAGATCCTTGCCCTTCCGTCTGATTCAGAAGTGTTATTACTCCATGTGATAAAAACATTATTTCCCCTGATCTTTACAGCCCGTCGCCTTCGTGAATAACCGCATGTCACCAGAAACAAACTGCAAACCAGACATATGATGTGAAAGACATTCCATTCTAATGTGATATAAACAATTGATGTTATATAAGATGTTTTGAGGCTTTTAAATAATTTGTGCGAACCACATTTTTTATAATCATGACTTTTATATTTAATGATATGTACTTTTACTTTGAAAAAAATTCAATAAATATGTTCAAAGTAGTTTAACATCGACGTGCAACCTTATTTTAATTAGTTTTTTTTTTAAAGAAAAACAGATCAACCTCGTAAATTTGTTGGGATGAAGCACAAAACGAAAACAAAAATACAAGATTCCACGAGCACACACACAAATGCCAACACGGAAGTACATGGTTCACCATTCAGATCTAGATCAATCAAACATAGAATGGCTTTTCTGATGAGAAATTAAAAGACCATTGAAAGCTTTTGCTAGGTATAGATGATAGTGAAAGCATAACCTAAACTATAAATATGATTGAGCTAACCTAAGTTAAAATACACTTTGTGAAGAAAAAAATTAAGAAATCCACTAATAGAGAAATACACAAGCATCTCACCCAGAAAAAACTACGTGATTTGTCACTATTGTGTTACGTCCACGGATTCCAAAATGTTCTAATGAAACCTAAAAATATTAAACAAGAGCTATGACTTTTTCACTTATATAGTGGATAGCAGAAATACTAACAAACTAGAAGAATCCGAAATCTCTACCTAACGAGAATTATGCTAACAACAATCTAGTTCAGACTTCAACCAATACTAACAATTTTCCCGTTTACTCATATTGAGGATTTAATATTCTTCTTTATTCATATATTTACTTTGTGGAAATTTTTTTAAAAAAATAACATGGAGTCGTTTTTAAATTAGAATTAACTAGATTTAAGTTGTAGCCAAAATATGATAAAATATGATATGTATATATATATATATATCTGTGTGCGTCTAACAAATTTGCTAGTAAATTTTCCTTATGTTTCTCATGAAAAATTCAAAAAATTATTGTCAATCTTGACTAGTTGGATATTTTTTATCACAAAATACATCTTCAAAAAAAGTGATATTTGAATTCAATGCATTTTAATCTGCTAGCCATCATTTCATTTGTAGCAAAATGTAACGCACTCTGATTATCACAATCAAAATTGAGAACCTCTTATTTTTATCATATTTTAATGATAAGCCTATTGAATCAAATAGACTTTTTTCAATGTTCAATCAAAAGTATTGATTGGACAATGAGTTATAATTTTTTTTGAAATGTGATGCTGAAGTAATACATAATACTTTAGATTTTACCCTATTAAACACACTTTGAACGTACTTGCTCTGATTCAATCATGGTCTGTTTTTTCCAAATTTCTATGAATATACAAACCCATCTAAATATCCTTTTGGACTTATCTAAATCTTTTAACTGTAATGAACATTACAATTGTATCTTGCATCTTTCAACATCCGATTGATTTTTTGTTAAAATGAGCTTGTCATCCACATAAAGCACTAGAATAATGGGATTAAAAATATTATTATTTAACTTTTTCATGTGTAGACATATATCACATACACTTCATGAAACTCCTTGTACTTTCATAAACTCATCAATCCTTGCATTTCATCGTCTAAGAACTTATTTCAATTAATGAAATGATTTTAACTACCTACAACTAAGTTATCTTGAACTTCTTTCTCAAAGCAAACTAATTGACTCATCTAGATTTTTTTACGTCAAAGAAAATAAATTTGAAGGAAAAAAATCTATTAAAAATGCAATAAATACATTAATTGGATCCATACTCACAGTAAAGATTATAGAAAGTGCAGATATCAGTTGAATTGTAGTATACTTTGCTACAAGTGAAAAGTTTAGTTGCTGTCCATAACTTTTTCTTTTGTGAAACACAAAGGAAAAATCTTTGAAAACAAAGATTTTCATGAATTGGATTGTTTCTCAATATATACATACATTCATTTGTTATCAATCAAAGTTTGATTCCTTCGAAGCTCAACTAGCTCCCATATTTTTTTATTCATTAAGTATCACATCCCACATTTCATGTGAATATTTCACTTAAGCTTATTAATAAAAGCTTGAATATATTTGTTAAAAAACGTTTTTTTTCAAAATAAACACAAGCTATTTACAACTTAAGTTTTAATATCATGATTTAAAAAAATGAATGAATCAGCCCATAAATCATACTTCATATAATCTCTATTAATCAAATTTTATGATAATCAAGTATACTATTTTTTTTGATCTCACGTGAGATTCAAAAACAATGATAATATGCTACTTTAATTCTTGCTCTTCATGAATTTTGTAATAACCCACTAAAGGCTAAAACTGCAATATAGTGGTAGAAAGGTCAAACCCACAGGGACAGAGGAACACACAGGGTACAAAGTGTCACATTTAACAGACTATTGAGGAGTTTGAATTCTCAGGCGACTGTCACTCCCAGAAATACTGCAAGTGTTCACTCGGAACTCACTCGGAGGTCGCACAGTGCAGCGTAACACACACACACACGCCTGAAACTACAGAAACACAACCCAGAGATCGGTTAGGACCTCTACTCAAGATTTCAGGGGGAAAGTCTCTCGCGAGTACACTCAGCGAAGCTGCGGGTAGTGACTCCCAACTCCGGCTTTTACAACCCTTCCACTAGTTTTCTACTAGCGTAGGGAACCCGGTTTGGACTTCCTACTTCGGATCGAAGTCACTCACACGCGGTGAACAACACTCTCAACTCACAAAACGCGCAGAGAACACAGGTCCGCATGGAAGGACTCACCGAGAAACGTTCCAGTAACACATCATAACAGTCTATTGAAGAGTTTGAATTCTTAGGCACTTGTCATTCCCAGATATACTACAGGGGTTATCCTGAAGGCACCTGCTGCAGCGTAACCTGAATTTACAATCAAGGCTTACACGAAGTAGCAAAACTTCACTTTGGCATTCAGGGGAAAAATCCCGAAGGAGTACAATCAGAAACAGTCACTCGAAGGTGTAACGGGGAAACTGTTCAAGTATCTAACTCGTCATTGGCTCTGAGCATCGGCAATCACCCGCAGGTGTAGATCCGAACTACTCAAGTCTCTAACCAATGTACTAGCTCTGAACATTCGGCCGAAGGCCTTCAGCTACACAATGCGGATCGCTAAGGTGTAGCTCCTCTCGCGTGGTGACAGAACTAAGGACACAAACACGCAGAGAAAATGAGTTCCTGATCTGCACTTCCGAAATTGGAAAAATCCCAAGGCAAGACGCCTTGAACTACTTTATACCCTCTAAGTCCTAACTAGCACTACACTGCACTACGCTATGCGCCTGCACGGAACCACGCTACACTACACTCCGCAGAACCTGTGCTTCGCCTCCTGCGCGACGGACTGCCGCGCACTAACTCTTTACCCTGCCAGTCTTCAGCTTGACTGCGCAGTCCCAAACGCCGCAACACCGCGGAAACCTCCGTCTCAAGGGTGGCCATGGTGTCCCGCGCCTTCGACAGAAAAGAATCCAGCTTCTTTGCTACTCGCCGCCGACTCCGACTGTCACCTGTCAACAACCCGGCTGCACGAAGCTCTAACTCACGCAGTGTGAGTTTCTCCTGCGCCGCCACTTCCCAGTGGGCGTAGCCCCTGAGGCAGTGGGTGACTCGCCTCGCCATTTCTTCCTTCGTGCGATCTGACTCTCGCCGACGATTGTCTTCAATTACTACCAACTGCGATTCGGCCTCCGCACGCTGTGCTCTCAATTCTCCGCACTCGGAATGCAGCCTGCGGATTAATTCCTCATCCGCCTGTCGTGCGAGCTGACACTGCTCTAACAACCGCGTCTGTCGCACGAGCTCCTCTGACAAAATTCGATTCTGAGCCTGCTTAGAAATGAGTTCTTCCGTGAGCTTCACCTGCTCCTTGGTGAGCTCTTCCAGTCGCCCATCCTTCAACTTGTCGAAGTGTTTGTAATATTTCTGATTGAGGTTGTACTGACCCCACAAGCATTCATGCTTCTCTTGCAGATCCTTAAGTTCCCG